ATCAGAGGAAAATATTTGGAAGTTTTAGGAGTTGCTTTTTCAGAACATGAAATCAGCAATTTCTAACTTTTCTTACTGCAAGTTTTGCCCATTCATAGTTCAAAATAGATAAAATTAAACAGAAGTTTTTTCACTGGTCATGCTGACAATGAAGGCATGGAATATTTTTTGCCAAGATCCTTGGGTAGGATTTGTTACTAAAGTGATCTCCTCACTCAATATAATCCCATGAAAAGTTTAGGGAAAGGGTACAAGTACATCACCTGTCCTATTTCTAATTCTATCATAGTTGATGGCTGGAGACACATTATATATGTCTAGGGACTTATATTAAACAAATTTACATAAAAGTCCCCTATCTCTGCCCTTGTATCTATCTAATGGAAAGTGAAGTCCTCAGTCTCCAAAGATCATCCTGAAATCCACCTCTAGCCTATCTCCTTTCATGAATATTCTTGACAGATGTTGGCAATGAATACACTCAAGCAGTCATTTAAATTCTGCTGCTTTCACAGGAAAGGAATTTGTTATAAATTATATTTGGTCGCCTCTACTAATTCATTCATTGTCCTTCAAATTCCAGCTGTAGCCTGATCCTGTATGTGTGTTCATGTAAAAAATTTTCCCTTTAAGCATTGAGACTTCAAGACTCAGCAGTGAAAATACTTGAATTGTTGGTTTTATTTTCTAAATAAATTATGTTGAAAACAGCACGTTCCCATGCAATGTTTCCACCTTGATTAAATTATACACTTTCCACTGGGAAAAAAAATCTGTTTTCTGCTCTATATTTGTGGAAGCATCAGTTCATCTTCCCGAGGTTTCTCCACAGTTCAGACAAGGGCAGTTTGCACTTTGCACCAATCAGCTGTTTACTGCCTCAAAAAAATTGGGCTTCTATATAATGAGTCATGGCCATGGGAGTTTCAAACATCAGTTCCTGATGCTCCCAACTAAGGGAGTACTTAAATTATGCTTAACTTATTTGCTAAAGTATATTTAAATGCTTCTCTGGGTTGGAGTTGTTATCAGTTGAGACCACAACTTAACATGAAGCAATAAGTTAGCATGGGTAATAAGTTTCAGTGCAAATACCATCATGCAAAAAAGCAAATACACATGCTCTGGAGTGACATTTCATGTGGCAGCTAGTTAGGAACTTCAGCTGATGGATGGTGAGCATGTACAGACACAGGGGTAAAACTAAGGATGTTGTAGACTTTGCACTGCCTGCTTCCTGGATTTTTAGTACTTGTTTCACCTTTATTAAACAGTCTTATTGTTTTGAAGAACAATAAATTTTTGCAATTAAATCTGCTTTACAGTTATCTTGTTTGGGAAGTTCTTTATGGATCACAGTCTTTTCTGAAATTACATTGTGCAGATATTATTACTTATGAGGTAAAATTATGCCTAGTGAGTAAACCAAATGTATGTGCAAATAAATAGATGACCTTCACCGAGCAGCTTATTTCTGAATACATTTGGACGTACCCATGAAATTGCCCTTCTGCTGGCACTGAACCATAATTTTACCATCTCAATAACACAATGAAGAGCAAACAAAAACATAGTCCCTGGGTTTTGGTGCAGATTGTACAGAGTAGCATTTAACTACAAGGCCTCAGCATCAGATCATGGTCCTGACAAAGACTGGAAGGTCATATTCTTTAAAATGAATGTTTGCCAATGCTGAGATTTTCTTTATGATACTTTTTTTCAAAGTTTGTTTATCCTGTTTCAAGTGGAATATTAAGGAGATACTATTTCTACCAGTATTGGCTCAAAAGATTATGAACAATTCCTTCAACTTTCTACCTCTGTATTTTATCCCATAACCATTCCACCTACCTTGAGATACTTAACTGAGATGTCTGCTTCGGATAGCTCACCACCCAAGATATATCATCTGCCATTCAAAACTCATTGCAGTCACCAGCTCTCCTCACTGGTTGCAGAAATGTGTTTTTCAACCTGCAACCTGCAGACCCTGAGGCAGCTATGAAATAGTCCTTGATGGAGCTTTGAAAGGTAACCGAGAAAAACAATCTCAGTCTATGGGGTGAAATTCACTGTACAAGTGCTCCGCTCTACACTAGCAAGTTGAAAGGAACTAAATCAAAAAAGACTGAGGAAAACTTTGTCTCCTCTTAGACAGTTCAGTGGTTAAACCTAAGCACTTGGTCCTTGATTTGCTATGTAATTAGCCAATTCTGGACACTGAGGATCAAAAGACTTCAGCAGTCCTTGGGCATCTTTGTAAAGGTGCCCACATTTTTAAGCAGAACATGAAATATCTTCTAAGCAAACTTAGCTTAAGACTCACCACAGTTAATTGCATGCAATTGTTCAGAAACATCCACATGGTTATTATCTCATAAGCACAGAATAATATGTAGTAAATATAATGAAAACTTACATTTTGCCTCTGCTGAATTCCTAAAATTACCTAATTGCAAAGCTAGTTACAAAATTAAGAGGGAGAAAGTTGAGGACAACAATTAACTATGAAGTCAACACTGACAGAAACGAGATGGCAGGTGTCATCTTAGATAAAGTAACTTGTGACTGCATACCACAACGTGGTTTCATTAAAAATACAAACAAATTTAAGCCTGAGGTTATGAAATTGACCTTAATTTGTCTTCATAATGACATCTAAAAATTTCAGAAAATGTTGGCAGAGAAAGAAACTAAAGACAACACTGTAAAGAAGTTCTATTTTTTTGTGCATCATAATCAAAATTGAAATCAGCCTTAGGCTGAAAATTAGAAATATGATCTTGCTTCTAATTAATTGGGTAAAATTAGATAATTAGGTAAAAATTAATTCACTTTACCTTGATCTTGAAAGAAAAAAAATATATATGTAAGTTGAGAAATGTACTGTAGCTGCTGTGCTCAGCTTATATGTTCAATGGTACTTATGATTTTTACGTGAACCATGTCATTAAATGGAAATTTTTACTTCTAAGTAACCAAGGATTCAGTGCAATCACTGGCCTTCTGATCATTCATGCTAGTTAACCCTTAGGTCATTGCCTTGCAAGCTCTGTTTTGGACTGTTGCAATTAGATATTTCCAACACAGATATGCTACTAAAAGGGACTAGTTCTAAGCATTACAAATTTAGGCTATTCCATGTAACTCAGTTTCAGTGCCCCCTTAATTTTCTTTTACTGATCCATACAGGCATAGCCTGTGTAACTTGCTTTTACAATCTCAACTTTGCTGCCCTGCCCCCAGTTTTCTAGTACAGTACCCATATACACTACACCTCTGCTATAGTTATTTTTTAAGGACACGTCAAAGAGTTTTATTTAAAAAGTGATCAGACCTTAAGCATGAAGGCTTTTCTAATACAGCCACACCAGTAAAGATCATACAGCATAGGAATGTTGTCACACTCAACATGGGTATGAATTTTGAAGGTATGGTTAATTTTGTCTGGGAAAGTAGAGCCACAGGAAAGTTTAAAGTGGTTTTGGTTTTTTATCTTTTGCCTTGTTTTAATCAACTTAAGCTACAGTATCAAAATTCAAGTTTTGCAGCATAAACAATATGATTACTTCAGCTCATTTCCATCAGTTGCACCATGCCACTCTTTTACTAACATGGTTTTGAGAGCTAAAACTTTTCTCCCCTACACCTAGAAAGTTGTCTTCTGTCTTAGACAAATTCCACACATCTGAATACAAAGATCATCCTAGTATGGTTTTAGATATGAGACTTCATTATTAAACATTACTGGGGTATTTTATCTCTGACAAACAAAGAATATTAGAAAAGATAAACTGGAGTATCTGAGCTGCAGAAGGGCCTAAAAGGTTCATTAGATAAAAAATAAACAGGAATTTAACTCCTAACACCAAAAGATAATAGCGAACTGTTTGTGTTGGCATTTCAGCTGGATTTTTTTTTTCCAGATTTCTCTACGGGTTAAGAAAAAAATACTTGGAAACAGTGACTCCTAAAACAAACTGAACAAAGATTTATGTCTATTTACAGAAATATTAGTTCTCAGTGGATAAGTCTGCATTCAGTATTTTCTATATTACTACATGGTTTCCCTGTTGCCAGAGTCTGTTCAGCTACTCTAAATATTTTTTTGCTCAAGGATATATTTTATTTCTGTTGATGGGAAAATCTGAGCCTTGTAACTTTCTCAGCTACAAATTCACAAGTGACAGTCAGACATGAACAGAATTTCTCTCTCTCTTCAGCATGCTTGATAAACAGAAACATGGAAAGGATATCTTCTGTGTAAGCAGGCAATACTGATGTTAAAATGTTGTTTCAAAAACTGCCAGGGAGAAACAATGGAATTCATAGATATTCAACAAAGAAAACCGAGAAAAAATAATGAATTAATCTATTTTCAGTCAGCAAACGTGACACACATTAAAAGGCCAGTGAAACCAAGCTCATGAAATAGGATTCCTCTAGATGGAACTCTTGAAATTGAAAGATGACAGTTGTGTAACAAAAGCATCGAAACATAGGAAATTATTCTCTTCCTCCTACTGAAACTCCTCCTTAGAGGAAAATGGGCTTATCTCACCTACTCGGTTCATGGCATGATGAGACACAGCTCTCCTGTGCAGAACACTTGAATTTAAAGGATTGAACAATGTAGTAAAATAAATAAAATTATGACTATGATAGAGGTTTTGACAGGTGCAAAGAGCTATCTATCTGTGTAGTTCCTTTCAGAGTAGCATTAAACCTGATAAACAATGATTTTATATTTGACATAGCTCTTGCCATTGAACTTCCTACTAACACTTGCAAACCTACCTGGACTAGAAACAGCATTTTTTTTTTCAATAATCTTTCACTTATTCTGTAATTATATAAAAATACTTGAGAAGTTAATGGGCAACAGAAAATCAAATTCACCTAAATAGAACAGAATCTTTGTAAAATATTATGAAGTACTGAGACAGCCTTAGAAGAATATTACATAACATTTTTGTCAACAGCATCAGGTCAGTGATATCTTTTATAATTAATTATTAAAAATTTATTTGAGAAAGAGAAAAAAAGTACATATCTACAGACCTAAGCTTCAGAAAAACACAACGTTGCCAGCAGTAACACCTAGACACCACAAATACATTCAATGAAAACACAAGAGCTTTGCAGGATTAATACATTCCCAACTGAAGCTCTGGCAAGGTAAAATATAATGAGTCAGCAGCTTCTAAAGCCTCTGCACTTGCACTGGAACCAGGTATCTGCTGGATGTCAGGCCCTTGAACCCTCCATCAACACTGCAATGAAAGTAACAGCAATAACCAAGATCTCTGCACTTCAGCACAGCACATGGTGTGGAAATAATAGCGACACATTAGAGAGCACAATGTGATAACAGGTAGCAAATACTGACTTCTGCCAGTGACTGTGAAGGTTTTATTCTTTGCATTTTTAGCTTCACATCTTGACTGTTGAAAAACACTTTTCTTGGGGCTATCTTTGAAACATATAGAGAAATCTTGTGTGGCAGAAAACATAACGTGCATGACCCACCGTTGTACACATAAACATGTACTATGCTCTCTCTTAGCTATCTGTTTGCTTCTGGCTGTTATTAGAGGTACTGGTTACCATCCTAAACTTGTACTGCATATGCAGTACATTTATCTTCAAAAGATGGCTTTTCTCATTGAACTCTCACAGCAGTAGCAATGCTTCTCTTCCCTGTTTCTGTGAAGTCCTAGTACATCTGGAGATGCCAGTAGCCAGATATCCTCCCCGCGTGGGCCATGGTTCCGGAGTTGCCTTTCCCCTCGCAGGGCTCCAAAGAGGATCCCAGCTCCTGCAGTCAACAAAACAATTAAAAACTAGAAAAATACATGCACAAAAACATTTAAAAGACACTCCTACACAACACACACAGTGATACCACCAGAGTACAGAGACAGCCCAAAACACAGTCCCTGAGAGGAGCAACTTGCCACATGTAGGATTAGTAACACAATGCATAACAACAAACCTGCACACAGGAGAAAATAACAGAGCAGACCCAAAATATATTAACTGATCTATTTATATTTCTGACATGAACAGGAGGGAGGACAAAAGTCATCTACATCCCTCTGAGGTGCAACAGAGACCTCTGGTACTGCTGCAAGAGGAAAAGGTTCCTTCTTGCTCTCCAGCACAGCAACTGGAGTGTGGGGTGGGTCCTGGGTGGCACTGGTCTGGCCCTGGGTGCTCAGAGGGTGCTTCTGAGCCTGCAGATGCCAAGCCAACTAGTACTGGGCAAAGTCTGCAATTGCCTGCTACCCGGACATGCATCAGCAGACGACAGGGGTGGTGATAGTTTTTCAGAAGGCATTTTGTAATTGCAACTTTGTGTTTCATATAAAGCAGCCAGATGCTTGGGGGAGAGGGTAGGGGAAGAGTTATAAATCTATAAATAAGTAATGGAGTGTTGGGCTATGAAATTCATAGATTAACATAGGAGAAATTCTCTCAGCGGCTGCATTAATGCCAGCACAGTGTTCAGCTGTTTATCATTTTGAAATGGCTCCTGCCTCTCACCACAAAGGCTATGTGGGGCTTGCCTGGCCTTCTATGTGCTTTTCTCGTGTTTACCTCTAGCCATAAAGAATTAATTCATCACTGAGATTGTACAATCAGGATCTCCGGCTCCGCTAAGGCTTGCTTAAATAATATGACTTTGCCTCATGTAATGCCAAACTCTCTGGTCTCAGAGTGCGGTTTGGTCCTTATTGCCTGTCTGAGAAGTGTTGGGGGAACAAGAGGCACACGAGGCCACCTCAAACCTCTTTCTGATCTCACTCTGTGAAGCCACACTTGACATCAGAGACCCCAAAGTCATGGCAATATCCCACATGCTTGAGACAGGTCTGTGAGAGGATTTATCTGCCTTGGAAAACACCATGAGCCACTCCTGGTTGTCAACCAAGGACTGATTCAAACCTGCAGAAGCCCTTCCACATACTATTTTTTCATGGAGGAATTTAAAACTCCTTAAACACAGCGGCACCCAGATGCACACTGTGCAGGGGCAGCAGGTGTCGGTACCGTGTGTCCCGGACAGCTGCTGCCATGGCCTGTGACTGCCCAGCAGAGCCACGTCTGAAGTGGCAGCCCATCTTCCCAAAGCTGCCTCCCTCATGGCTCCCCTGCCCCCCGCCACCCAGGGCACCCCTGAGACTGCTGGCAGTCCTGGGGCAGCTGCTCACTGCAGTGGGTAGCTCCAAGCCTGTTTCTAACCCCTCTCTTGCAGAGACAAGGCGCATTCCATTTCACTCAGCTGCCCAGCCTGACACAAGACCTTCCCCCAGGTTTCCCTGCCCAGGGCAGACCCCAAGCACAGAACAGGGTACGGGCTTTTGCATAGCTTCCAGAGGTACCTCTCAGTCCAGCACCTCAATCCTACAGCCCTACAGCTTCTCTCTATCTACATTTATCCTGTCCTTTACCTGTTTTATAGTGCTTCTCCAACTGAATATCACCTTCCTTCATGGAAATATCATACACTTTGTAGTTAGTCACTTTATTCCTCTGCCAAGGATTCTCTCAAGTTCCTATAACTAGAAGAACCCTGTGTTCTCTTCATGCCATAGATTTTTAAATGTGGTAGTTCTACATTACTTAGGCTGCACATATTTCTTCCTAAAATAACACAGGCATCTCTATAGACCTTCACGAGGTCTTTGATGCACTCCAGGCATCTTGCTATTCAGTCTATTATTCAGTAGCACAACTGAAATAATTGGGCCTTAGTACTTTCTAAGTCTTTGCAATTTTTTGACTCCTAACAGGGTGAGTGGCCAGGTGTGATACAGAGCTCAGAGGAAGCTGGAAGAAAAGAGAATAGATAAGTATGATAGCAATTAAGCTAGATCTTGTTGTTTGCCTCTGTAGAGGGGTATAAGGCCTACAAATGAGAAAATCGTGGATAGTCCCATTCTGAAAACAAGTGAAGAAGGTGAATGAATGGAAAAAATATGTCAAAGCCCACAAAAATTGTGGAGCTCCTGAAGCAGCATTTCATTCCCCTCAAAAGAGTAGGTGAAATCCCTGGAGATTCCTGTCTTAAGCAGACGAGCAGGGAAGTCCACAACTGTGGCATGCATGAGACAAATCTTGTTCCAGATGCTTCGCTGAGTGCTGCCTGATCTTGGACAGGAGCATCCTGGAAGGATGTATGAGGTGCCCAGACATGAGTCACTGAGACATCTATAGTGCATACTTTGCATCTAGTCTTTGCTGTGGAGCAAATTAGTTCTCTAGACAGGGAAATGTGACTACAGATGGGAGGATGGAGCTGGTAGTGACTGACCCCTCAGAGTACACACGTGCTAAATGTGATGCCTTTGGCCGGCTCCAGTTCTACAGGAGTACCCCAGCAAGGTCTTCATCTTGCTGCAGTCCCCCACCCCCACACTCTGTGCCCCTAAGTGCTGTGGCTGGACACAAAAAAAATGGTAACAGCAGGCTGCAAACCAACCTTCTCAATTGCTTCTAGATTTTCTGCCTGCATGTGGCACATGCATAGTGTTTGAGATCAACATCTGGAGAAGACAGGGACCTGCTTCATTGTGGGTACCACATTTATAGACAGAGATCTGTAGGTGGGAAAAGCTGTTCTGAAAAAATAAGAACATTCTGAACTTTTAGTGTGTGCTTTGCTAGGGCCCAGGAGTATCCTCCACCTGGGCAATAGGGCCCTGGCATATCAGGGAGGAATATATCTTGTGATGCACCTATTATCACCATTTTGAAGTACCCTTCCACTGCCACCAGAGCACAGGCAACTTGGGGCTAAATGTTTATTAATCAAATAGAAGAAAATCCATACATATCCTTTTAATGCAGTCAACATTTTAAGTATTATAACCTAAAGAGATAAATCAAAACACTGAAGAGGAAAAACACAGAATATCTGTTAAAAAGACCCAGGGTCTGAAATAGGTTGTAAACATATTCCATCAGTTAGCGGGACCACTGTCTCCAAGGAAGCAGCCATGAGATACACTCCTTATGTAGTAAGCTCCAGGGAAACACTTGCAATCAGGAGAGCAGGATGCCCACTTCTAGCTGTTGAAGTTGAAAGCTAAATCTGATGATCACAGCCAGAAATGTGTGAGTGTTTGGTTAAAATGTTACAGAAAATTCTAGAGATGGTGTGGCAAATGTTCATGCTGGTTACTCCAGTAAGCTCAGAGAACTTCTGTTTAGGTAGACCATTTTTCCCCAGGTTTAAACCATTGGGACTGCAAGCAGATTTTGGAATAAGGGATCCAGCTTTGCCTGTGGCTGGCATATAACTGAAGTCACGGGAGGGTTTTGCTGAAGTCAGATTAGTTGGGTAAGGGGAGTTAGGTAAGGCTAGCAAAGTTTGATGTGCAGTAACACCAGAAGCGGAAGTTTCCATCCTGAAAAAAATATAAGAGAATGACTCTAGAGGCAGACTCTCGTTTTATTAGGTGTAAATCAGATGTGATATTAAATCCATATGGTAAAGGTTAACGTGTAAGAAGTATTGCATATTGATCGCAGCACTTCAGAATTGGCCCATTTTTCCTTAGCATTTTATCGGCTTCACAATAGACATCAACAGTGATACAGAATTCCTAAAAATTAACCGCAACGGTAAATGATAATGCAAGTTTCAAAAGATAATCATGCCTTCCTTATGCTTGTGATGATAATAAACAGCAGAGATCCCTAATAGCAGCATCAATTCCATCTCACAAACAAGGAAAGATTAACATGGGAGAAAGAAACTATGCAGATCTACCAATAAAATCGTAAAGCTGATAGTAAAATGATCCAACAGCAGAGGAAAAGGCAAAATCAATAGCAAAAAAGATATTAATTAGTACCTTCTCCATTCTGCTGCATATATGTCAGACTCCAGTGCTTGCAAAAGCAGGAAATCTTGTGGTATAAGGGCTCCAGTCTCTGAAAATCATCTTTCTATGAGTGAGGAATTGTTCCCAAAGGCCACTAAATTAAACAGAGGGAGACAGAGATGGTAACATTTTTTCCCGGGGACATAAGTGGATTGTAAGATTAGACATCTCCCTGGCACTGCTCTCAATGGAACTGTAACACCCTGCTTATCTCTTATCTCCTCAGATTAACATCCCAAACTCTACAAAATAACTCCCTGATGGGTGAACTGGACTTGGCGGTGACCCTGCACACTCACAGGAGTGGGCTGGGGTAGGCAGGAGGTGGGCTTTGAGCCCTGCTCATCCCCTTCGAGGTCAGTGTCTCTTGTGGCTGGGAGCAGTGGTCACTCCCTGACTATGGGAATTATCCCACTGCTTGATCCCTGGACTCCCACAGGGATATCTATGCTAATTTGTGTCTGATTTGCACCTCACAGACATGTCTCTTTAAATGCAAGGAATTGGGACTGTGAGCACAATGTACAGCTGGTAAGGAAGTTATCGGTCAGTGAAACCACAGCCTGCAAGTCCACCTAGACCTGGACCCGTGCACAATCCTGTCAGCCGAGCAGAGCCCACACACACGACTGGCATCAGTCCTGGCCACCGGCACATGCCCTGCAGCAGCCCAGAGTCACACCTTCAAGTCCTACCAAGCAGCCAGTGAGCAGAGGTGCTTTCTGAGCCGGGGAGAGCACAGCAGTGGTTGGCATTCAACAGATAGCCGAGCTGAACATTTACACCGCAGCGTAATGGTGAACTTTATTTTGTTCTTTGCACCTCTGCCAGCAATTCCAGGCAGACACTTTTCTTTTTACCTCTTGCCTGCTGCTGAACACTGCTGTTTTCATAAAACTGCCTGTTACAGACCCAAGCTCTTTCCCAAGCTGTAATAGTTAGGTCAGACCTCGTTGTTGTGCATGCAAAGCTTGGAGAAAATCTCCATTTTCACTGCTTTCTACCCATCAGCACTGAATTTCACCTGCTGTTTTACTACATGGTCATTCAGTGTAACAAAATCCTTCTGCAGCTCTCCAGACAACTTTCATTTGCACTGTCCATGGTAACTTAGTGCCATGAGCCAGAGATTAAGTTATTTTGGCAAATTATCTGAAATGTCTTTTCCCCACAAAAAAATCATTCTGTCAAATAAACAATCCCTCTTCTGTGAACACACCACTCCAATTAATGGAGGTTAATTGCCTATAACAAACAACCATTCAATGTATTCATTACACTAATGAGATTTCATTTTTAGAGAATTTATTAGTTGAAAAATACAGTTTTGTTCACTCAGCTTTTAACTGCAGCAAGGAAATGTGCTTGAACTTGGAAAAATCTTTCTTTCCAAGAGAAAATTACAAACTGATCTTAAAAGAAAATGAATATTTATCCACTAGTTGATACTTAGATCTCCCTGAACAAAAGATCAAAAGAACTGCTTTCAAATACTTTCACTTACTAGGTGTTTTATAATATGAATATGTGTGATACTGCAGCTGCACCCACTTGTTGACTATAAAGATTCTTAAAAGCATAACTGACCCTCAGAAAGCAATCTGTCTTCCCTTATCACCACCAGGTTGCTATCATAGAGATAAAATTGCCTAGTTTTAACAGCAATGTGCTGAAAAGCCAGTGGTAATTAACAGTTAGGATACTTCCAATTCTCTTATTTTAAAGTTTTCACAGATAAAATAATTTGGCTGCTTAAACTTTGTCCATTAAAACTAAAAGGTGTGTATGACCAGAGACAATTACACTGTGATGGATTTGGCTCTGCTACAGTCAAATTACATCTTGTTAATTTAGTTAGGCTGTGTATTGCTGTTCTGCTCTAAATTCATACCCATGGTTTTGATGCAGACTACACCCCAAATAAGAATCTACTGTTTTAATGATTAATAAAGGGCTATTCCATAAGAAAAAAATAGATTTTGTTACACAGATATGAGCAATCCCTTAAAGAAGTAAACACATTCACTATGATCTTTGTCACATATTCTTAAACTCATCCACAGTGTTTTCACATGCTGTGAGTGTTTGTGCAACTCTCATTTTGCTTGCAAAATGTTTGTGCTGATCCCTCTTTATTGGTGTGTGTCACATACTAAACTGCTATTGTAAACAGTGCTCCATCAGGCCAGGTTTTCTGCAAAGACCTATAAAGCCTTTTTATCCCAAGAAATTTGAAACTAAGAAATTTAAAAAGTGACCATAGTGGTAACAATTTTGAGAATTATGCACATGGCTTTATGGTATTTACCTGCCACTCATTTAGATTGCTCTTGCCCTCACTTCTGGGTCAAACTCCACCTTGAAGATAAGGTCTCCCAGTGAGGTGGTCCACATGCATGTGGACATGTAGTCATCACTTGTTAAAGCTATGTAAAAGCTACGTGATGACTTATGAGGGAAGTGCTCTGCAGTACTTAGAGCAATTTCCATTTGACGATAAAAGAAGACATGTATAGCATGGTGAATATGAAGAGAGATAAATAGGAAAAGAAAGCTAATGAGAAGCCTCACCAAAAAAGACAGATTAAAAGCCTCAGGTACTCCACTATGACAACAAGCCAACCCATTCTAAGTCACTTCCACAGGGCCAGTTTCACTTATCTTTTCCAAATAATATGTCTTTAGCTTTCAAGAAGGGCTTGGCTGTGGGGACTGAAAAATAACACGAGCCACAGGACAAAGAATGGTGGATGCATGCTTATAAGAGCATCTACTTAGAAGTAAAAACTCACTTCCATTGTATGTGTAGGTTCATTTCTCACTTCAGCTGTGTGTGAAGAGAAGATCATTAAGAGCACAGGCATGAGTTATGAAAATATCTAACTGCAACTAATAAGATGCTAAACTGAAAGTGATGGGAAAAACATCTCATCATGGATTCCACCACTGCTTCATTTAGACTGAAGAAAGCAAATATCAACTTCAACTCAATTATTTTACTCCAGAAAATTTCATTTGCCTTCTCTTCACATCTCACATATAAGCTCCTCCTCCATGAAGGGAGAGAAGAGCCAGGCTCCCCCTGTCAATCGAATAATACCATGGTATTTTTACCAACGTTAAGTTCCAATATGCTGTTCCAGACCACTTTGATGCAGAATTATCTCTAAATGTAATCTACTTCTTTCAGCCTCCCTCCACAAAGTCTCCCAACTAGCCACATATGCAGTCACTAAAACAAATATGAAACATTACTGCATCGGAACTTGTATTAACAGATTACATCCCACGGGACTTCTGCCATTCTGGGTAGTTTCTCAAAGCTAGCACTTCCAAATCAAATCTTTATCATGTGCCTTGAATATGTGATACCTTCTGGGTGAAGTTTGGAATATTTTATTAATGCCAATTAAATAGCAAGACTAGAAAAGGTGTAAGATGTTCCAAAAATGAAACATTTAGTAAGAGTATACAAAAAGAAAAAAAGTATAAAAAAAAAAAAGAATCCTCAATCTCACTTGATTAAATGATACTTCTTTAATCAGCAAATTGTGATCTTGTTTCAGACTGAAGATTGTTGTTACATAGAACATAAGAACAACCTAAATCATCTAGCATTTACTTAAAATGCTGCAACACCAGCAGGTTTATTTTAATATAATAGAGTAGTAGAGTAATTACACTCTGAGATTAATATTTATAGAACATAATCAGGTTTTCCTTATTTAAAATATTATTCAATAATTTCTGCTCCTTAAAAACATATTCAAAGTTGATGTAGGGTTTGAAATAAGTCTTTACAGAAAGTTATCAGAACCCTGGCAGGAATCTGAAATGACGTTCACTGCCCCTCAGAGATCATACATGGTGTGGTCCCTGCAAACCTTGCACTTCAGGAGCAAGAATCTCCCTTTCTGATCTGGAGGAACGAACATGAGACAGATTAGGGGATAGATTATAAAATGGCATGAAGCAGGTGCTGTGAAAGTGATTTACAACATTGTCTGGGACAGTGGCCGTTCTGTAGCAAGAAACACAAGAAACCAGCAGAGGTCAGATATAAAACCTCAGCAGAAGGAGGGAGAGTATTTTTCCACAAGCAATCCAAAAAACTGTGATATTGACATACCAGCAATCCCTGTGAAGCCAGAGCCTCAGAAAATTAAGTGTGAACCTCCAGGATGACTGGCCAGTGACACAAGGACACAGTGACCCAGGCTTCCAGGTTTCTGCTCCTGAATGGTACCCTCCCTCAAGCCGGAGCTCTCGGCCACCGTGTGTGTTCATCCTCCACAAAGCCCAGGCATGACCGGTCTGGGCAAAGGCCTCTGTGGGCTATTGCAACACAAGCTGCGTGCAATAATGACAATTCTTTCTGGAATACAGTTAAAACTAGCATCGGATCACTGAAACTATTTACTTTAAACATGAGAAAGGTGTATGCCATGATTTCCTTATCTGAGTTGGAGCAAGAACAGTGCCCAGATTAGAGAAAGGTACAAGGTAACAAATTCCTCACACCCTCAGCATAGGGGATCGATATCTGCTTTCCATAAGGAGGAACTGACAGTATTTTAATTTGCTAATTGTTAGTACTGCCAATTCTGAGCTCAGCGTCCTCTGCTGCAATGAGCCCTGCTTCAAATTCCAAAATACAGGCACGTTTTATATCAGAGTGTGGGAGTGTTGTTAATTGCTTTGCTGCACTCTTCAGGAAAGCATTCCTTACATCTGAGTGTGTGTAACTCCTGATCATTTTACTCTTTACCCTGTAATTCCCACTTCTTTTTATCATATAGGAAATACCCAAAGTGCTTTATAAACTTTGCATCTAATGTAACTAACCAAGATACCATTATGCTTTATAAGCATGCAGAAGAGTCCTCCAGTCTCCCAGTTTCCAAGGTAAATACTGCTTGTAGACAGGACAAAACCACCGGCTGTTTCTGAAGTGCTCAGCATCCAGTTTCTCCAATATTAATAGAGATTCCCAGACGTCACTTCTGGGACATCTCAGTCTCACTCAGCACCCAAATCTGTATGGCCCTGCCCAGTGGAACCCGGT